AATAAGGGAAGCCTAAAGCTAGACCCTCTAGACCCTAGGCTCTAAGGCCCTAGGCTCTAAGGAGAGAAGTGTAGACCTTACCCGAAAATGAGGTCAATAAGTTGATGGTAGGAATTTCTTGGTTTGGTCAACTACTTTATCTTACTAAGCAAACCAAGCCCTCAATACCTCCAGGCAATGGAACGATGCAGTTAGGTACTATTCCCTTCACCATCTACTCTAAACTAATCTTTGCAAATTTATTTAATATGAAAGCAAATTCTACAATGAGCTACATTTAATGACTATTTCTAATAAAATGTTTTCTTTCCTTATCGAAAGTGTTGATTACTATAGAGATTTGTGCCTATGGGAGTTCGATATCAAATTTTAAAGTCCTTATAAAATGAAATCTAAATGTCTGGATGGTGGCTTAAATTCTAATCGACTTCAAAAATTTAAAACTAAAGGCAAATCTATCAAAGGTGTTAGAGACTTAGAGGTAAAGTTTTGCAGCATAAATTTAGCATTGTAATTCATAAATGTGATGTAAATTTAGGTAAACTAGTTGTAATGTGGGTAAAATAGCTTGAGTTTTCTAAATAAAAGCTTTACCACAGTCAAGTTTATAAAAGCACAAATTGCTCTCATCTTAGGTGGTGGCATTCTTCCTAGTCTCATGAGCAAAAAATTTTAGGTTGGGTAACCTCTTATGAGGGAGTTGTTCTTGTTGTAGTGTTGTTGCGATTATTGGGGATCTTGCTACCTATGAAGCGCATACATTTCAAAAGTGCATCCATGTCTATCTCAGACACAAACATCACTTTAGCACTCTGGGTATGTGCTCAACATGCTACAAACTTTGTAAGAGGTAAAATAGAGCTCAAATCATCAACATGAACGGTCACAGTAGGGGGACTTGGGGCGCAAAAAGCGGAACACAAAAAGTTAAAATAAGTCCCGCGTGAAAGAAAAAATGCCATGTCTTAATCTATTCGACAATTGAGATGTTGCAAGATTATCGAAGATACATTAAGAAGATTTGTTGAAAAGCACCTAAAATGGGGGACACTTGGAGGAAAATACTCTCAAGGTTCTTAAAGATATGCAACAAACGCGAGGGAGAAAAATTACAAGCCGCAAGTCGAGGCATCAATAACATCCCTGGAGAAACATGTTCAACACTCTTTAAAGAGAAATTCAAGACAAAGTCGATCCGCAATAGCGTGCATATCAGAAGTCGAAGGTTTTCTGGTGTACAGTGACTTGTGCAGGCAAGTTAAATTTTTATTTTTGTTAAATATGATTATAGATTTTATATTTTTGTTAAGTTATCAAATATTTATTAATAATTATTAAAAAAATAAAAAAAACACTATTAAAAGCATAAAATTTGTAGTAATTTTAAACTTTAATTATAATAATAAAAAAATTTAAATTTCTTTGAAATTTTCATGAAAAGAGTTTATGCTAATGTTTGGTATGTAATTTAGTGCTTAAATACTATGGTGATTGAATGTGACTATAAAAGTTATATGAACTATTAAAACATGAAAAAATCCCTAAACATTATTAGAATTCTTACGTGACAACTTAAAATGAGTAATAAATGCTTTGTGTAATAAAGCATTTTTTTATCATCAATCATATTTGATTTTTTTTAGTTTTAGAAAGTTCTTTTATGATATTTTACTTCATCCATTAATGATTTCATTAGGAATAATAGAAAATTATGTATTTACAGTAATGATTTGTCTAAATATGCCATGTTGACGCGGAGTGTGGTTTCAATTCGTGTCCGCGGGATGTGAATGCGACACTCTCGCGATCTGCATTTTGCAAAACCCACGATCACAGGAGAAAAACTGAAGCAGTTTTTATTTCATTTCCTTTTTGTCCTTTTTCCTTTATTTCTTTACCAGGTTTCCTTCTTCTATTTCTTCCTTTTTAGTTCTTACCTATCTCTAATTTTTAATTAAGCATTTGCTTTGAGGACACTTATATATATACTGTATTAGCAAACCAAGCCCTCGATATCTCTAGGCAATGGAACGATGGGGTTAGTTACTATTCCCTTCACCATATACTCTAAACTAATCTTTGCAAATTTATTTAATATGAAAGCAAATTTGTTACTACAATGAGCTACATTTAATGACTATTTCTAATAAAAGGTTTTCTTTCATTATCGAAAGTGTTGATTGCTATAGAGATTTGTGCCTATGGGAGTTTGATATCGAATTTTATAGTCCTTATAAAATGAAATCTAAATGTGTGGATGGTGGCTTAAGTTCTAATCGACTTCAAAAAATTCAAACTAAAGACAAATCTATCAGAGGTGTCAGAGACTTAAGAGTTAAAGTTTTGCAGCATAAATTTAGCATTCTAATTCATAAATGTGATGTACATTTAGGTAAACTAGTTGTAACTTGGGTAAAATAGCTTGAGTTTTCTAAATCAAAGCTTAACCACAGTCGAGTTTATAAACGCACAAATTGCTCTCATTTTAGGTGATGGCATTCTTCCTAGTCTCATGAGCAAAAAATTTTAGGTTGGGTAACCTCTTATGAGAGAGTTGTCTTTATTATAGTGTTGTTGCGATTATTGGGGATCTTGCTACCTATGAAACACAGACTTTCAAAAGTGCATCCATGTCTGTGTCAGACACAAACATCGCTCCAACACGCTGGTATGTGTTCAACATGCTACAAACTTTGTAAGAGGTAAATTAGAGCTCAAACACACATCAACATAAGGGTCACAATAGGTGGACTTGGGGCGCAAAAGCAGAACACAAAAAGCCGAAATAAAATCCCGCGTGGAAGAAAAAATGTCATGCCTTAATCTATTCATGACAACTGAGATGTTGCAAGATTATCGAAGATACATAAGGAAGATTTGCTGAAAAGCACCTGAAATAGGGGACACTTGGAGGAAGATACTCTCAAGGTTCTTAAAGATATGCAATAAACGCGAGGGAGAAAAATAAAGATATGCATCAGATTACCCAAACTGGAGAATGATATCTTTCCTTGAGCATGGTGTCGTAGAGAAGACAGAGGTTGAAGATCCTAAGGAGGAGATTGAAGAGGAGTATTCGCTTTTAGCAAATGAAAGAGAGATACTAATGATTCAAGCTGAGACCTTGAGAGACTCCAACACGATTATCATTGGTTGTTCTAAAAAATAGTGAGTCTAAGGTAATGGACGTTCATATAGAGTTTGAGAATGTGGTGTCATAAGCTACATTTTTACAGACGTTAAGAGGAGCATCAGCAGGGCTGACCTTCTTTAATTAGGCCATGAGCTCGAGGGGTCGACACCAGACACATGGCAACCCTGTATTTTAGGATTTTCAAACTTACAAGTAACCTCTTGAGTTTCCACTGCTTAGGGACTTCCAATATGTGTCATATATGAGAAGGTTTTGGGCTATTTCTGGAAGGTTGTACTGAGTACTTTGGGTGTTCAATTTCAGTTCAGTTCAACAATGCACCTACAGACCAGAGGGTCAGGCGAGAGTGGTGAACCGCCGCTTCAGCAACCTTCGTAGGTGCTTTGTAAAAAAAACATCCGACAATCAGATCCAGGTCCTTTCAAAGAAGAAGATCCTTCTCATAACTCGTGAGAATGTTGTGCAGCATGGTTTCAGTCCACAGAATCGTGAAATCCAATGGGAAGTGGGACGAGACACTCCCGCAGTCTGTTGTTTGCGGATCCCATGATTGCAGGAGACAGATCGAGGCAGTTTTTATTTTATTTATTTTATTTCTTCTGCAAGTTTCTTTCCTTTATTTCTTACTTTTTAGTTACCTATTTTTCTTATTTTAAATTATGTATTTGCTTTGATGATATATATATATATTGTATTAGGGTTTTGGATTTTCAATTTCTGAGTTTTATATTTTGGAGGATATTTCTCCTATTTATGTTTTTCGGTGTGTGTACCCTATTCCTTTTGCAAGTGTGTGCCTACAGCTTGCCTATAACTAGATGGTGGATCCCCTCGCCGATTCGTTATTCAACTGCCACTGAGCACCTCCAATCTGCTGTCCAACAGCAGTCTTATCTCCTTTTCTTACCCACACGCCGTCTATTCACTGTTTTCAGCTGAACATGCATCGATGCCACTACAACGTGCTGTAGCAGCAGGACATCACCTTTTTTTTCTGCTTCCTGTTCACTGTCCCGCCGCCTTTCATGCCGGTTTTAGTTGCCATCCATCCGCTCCACTCACTTAATCAACCCTACGTTTTTTTAACAGCTCTGTGCTTTATTAAACCGTCTATGAACCCTAGAACCGTGTCACATGTTCATGATATTTTGTCTCCTACATTTTACAATTCTACTGCATCGCGGTGTCTGTGTTGTGTTCATACTTCATAGCTTGCCACCACCCCTATCCTTATATTTAGTTGACTGTTGACCACATGCCTGAGCAGAAATGTTGATATTGGCGTCATTGCTTTTAAAGTGGCTCCAGCTATCGTCAAATGAATGCATGGAATCCCTCATTACGGTCCCAAACTTGTCCTTAGAAATCAGATTTTTATGTGTTCATGCTCGTGTTCATGTAGATGCGGAAGCCACATTTTTCTGGTCTTGTTTGCTGCATATCCTAGCTAACCTTCAAATCACATCATTAAGAAAGATTAATCATTGTCTTTTCATTATTAACTTGGTCCTACACATACTAAATTGGTGCTTTATAATAGCTGTGGAATGGCTTCTATTCATTATCTACACCCCTCATTTATGATGTAATAGTGTAATTAGGTTAAAATGATACTGAAGTTCGTCACAAAGTCAGTACCTATTCTTTCTGTGAAGCAACCAGCGCAACATGTTTGTTAACTTTTGAAATTATTCTTTTGATTTATTAATCTTTTAGCTTTTCTATCAACGTCACTGCCAATGCATCCGGCTGTCAACGATTCCATAAACCATTCGTTAGCAATAGGAGAAAGGTGCTTACATTTATTTATGTTATTGTTTTCTGTTTGTCTTCATTATGAATCCAGGGTCATCAGTACGAGACAGTATCTGGTTTTATCTGTGAATCATTTGGATATATACCGGAAGAAGGTCAGAAAACATTCGTGGTGCTTGAAAAGGCAAATTATGAAGATAATGATGAGTACAATGAGTCGGAACCTGATCAACCAGATGATAAGGAAAGATGTCAAACATTTGAAATTGAGGTATTTTCACATACTAAATTTAGTGCTATTAAATTGAGTTTTGTTGATATTGAAAGTTACAAGTTTTTCTTCATTTCTCAACGCACTGTATCAAAGCCATGTGTAATGTCAAAATTAGTCCTCGGTGGTGATTGCTTCTTTCTTTGATATTTTTGGTCCTTTTACGTTCTTCGAGACTAGAATTGCATGAATCATTGTATCTCTTCCTAGAATTAATACTTCCAAAATTAATACATTTGCCATGATAATCTGGCAACTTTGATGTTGAGATGTTTGGATAATGTATAGATTTACATGGTATTCTTAATTTCTGAGTTTGATATGCTTTCTCTTGTACCTAATATTGTTTGTTCTCAAGATCATCTGCTTGAGTCTAAAGTGTAGGACATAGTAATGGAACACGTGATAGAAAACATAGAAAAGAATTTTCATCTCATATATATTTATCTTAAAATTATGTATGATTTAAACCAAAATAGTTGGCTCGGAAAAAAATATTCTTGGATAATTTAGTAAGTATATAAAGTCAATAAATTTAATAAGTATTCTATAAGTTATGGAGGTGGAGGTTAAGGCTGTTCTTTTGAAACATAATTTTGAAAAGTATTGCTCGACTTACTTAAACAGATATCTATTTGTCCTTTAGTCATCTCATTTTATTATGGGTATGAATATAAGACATTTTATTATGGGTATGAATATAAGAAAATTGGTTAATAACGAACGGAGATAAGGTTTAGTTGAAAGTGCCTAGCATTTTCAGTTATAATCCCTTTAATGCTCCCATTAAATTCATTTTTAATGATGACGACAGAGATAAGAAGAACATGACACATCGGAGTTTTGTTTAATGAGGCAAACCCTTGTTATTCTAGTACAAATATCAACGACTATGGAAAATTTTTGTGCACTTGAGATATTTAGAATTTTCTATGGCCTCAAAATATCGAAGTAGATTATGCAAAGAGTTGGTGATCTTTCATAGATAACTCTACAAAGTTTTGCAAGTTCACAAGTTTCATAATGAAAAGATACTTCACTATTATTTTTAACAATAAAAGAAGCATTGTTTTAGAGTTGTGAAAGGAGAATGAGATGAACTAAGATAATGATTCCAATCTCATTTTAAATTGATATACATAAAAGAAATATGGGACAAATGTTTCGATTAATTTTTCTTTCTTTTTTTCTGCCTGTATTGTGGTCTGGAGAATGTAATTGTCAACAAAGAATACTAGATTACATTTTTGTTCTTCCATAATTTTATGAATGGATAATATGTTTACAGGGAGGTTAGGTTTATGATACTGGAGATAACCCAAACCACTACTGTAACAATGCAATTTTATTGCTGATTTTGAAGGAAGTACAACATGGACTCTCAGACAAAAAACAATACAAACATGTGACGATAATATAAGAAGTAACTTCACAACAAATAATAAAATAAGTACTAAAGAGGGCAGGAACAGTCTTGGGAAGCGCTTGGTGGTGGCTGAGATTAGGCTGTCAAAAAAGCTCGTTCTGAACAACTCGTATTTGGCTTGTTTGTCAGGAAAATGAGTCAGATATGAACAAATTTCTTAAGCTTGAATTATAAACTAACCGAACACAAACAACTCTTTGTTCGCTCGTGTTCGGCTCGTTTTAGCTCGAAATAAAAAAAAATGTAATTATTTTTATAATAATATATTATATATTTTATTGATATAATAATATATTATATACATTTATATCTAAGTTAAATCATAACAGCTCGTGTGGTAATGTGGTTATGCTATTTCTACATATATTTGGTCCATGTTCGAATCCAACAATCACATCTATTTTTTCTAATTAATTTTAATGAGCTAATTTCGAGCTGAACACTAGCCGAACACAAACAAGAATATTTAAATCGAGCCGAACACGAACAAAAATATTTAAATCGAGCTGAACACGAACACACTGTTTATGAGCCAATTTCAAACACAACCGATTTCGAACACGAGCAATTTCGAACGAGCCGGACACGAGCCAAGGCTGAACTCGCTCAAGTTTGGCTCTTTTACAGCCCTAGTTAAGAATCTATCGGAAGGACTGAGGAAGTGCTGACGGCGACCTAGGAAGGTGTCAGAGTGAACGCCAACCTAGGAGGGGTGTTGGGGACGAATTGCTGGTATAGCAGCATGCTGGAATGTGCGCCGGGAGAGGCTGCGGAGGCTGTTGGGAGGGTTCGGAGGTGCTGAGGCCGACAGGGAAAGCACAGGAATGAAAGGCAGCAACTAAAGGAAGGCTGGGTGGAACCTGGAGGTGCGGCAACTGACTCGGAGAGGCGCAGAGAGGACCGACAACTTCTGGAGAGGGCTAGGAAGGAATGGAGGCGTTGCGGGCAGCTGGAGGAGGCGTAGGAGTGGTGGGCAGCGATGGTAGAGCGAGGTAATCTCCACCTCATGCTAGGTACAACCGAAGCGCCTCTCGCCGTTGAATACATCCCCTCGGGAGGAGAACGCCGTCACGGCAAACTTGAAACCAGAGATCACACAAAAAGCTCATTAGATCTGAGAAAGAACATGTATAAATAGGGAGGAGGGGAGGCTACCTTGGAAGGAAGGAGTAGTAGAAATGGAATGGGTTTGAGGGGCGAGCAACGACTAGGAGGAGTAAGGCGTGTGGCAACGGCTAGGAGGCGGGTGATTAGGGCACGAGGAAGAAAGGATTGCGGAAGCGTAGCGGGATCGCGAGAAAAGAAGAACAAATGATCTGGTGAGGTCCAGCGGGGGTGGCTAGACCGGTTTGCTCCTAGCTGCACCTGTTCGACGCGCTGAAGCAGGGAGCTGGAGCGAGCGTCTCGTGTTAATTCATGAAATACATTTTGCAAGGTAAAGAAAATGGTTATCATTATTTGGCATGTGGCTGTGGTTTGAGAACCATTTGAATATTATTTTCTTATTGCTAGGCGTTGATTTACTGGTAAATAAGAAGTTGACACTAAATAGGACGCAATGGAGAAAAAGGATTCATGTAACCGACCTCACGTAGTGAGATTAAGATTAAGGCTTTGTTGTTGGCTTTGTTGTTGTTGTTGTTGTTGTTAAGAAAATTCCAGTATCTTTAAAATTGAGTCCTTTTTTTGTATTGTATCCTTTGACTGATTCCTATTTTTCAGCACTTTTCTTTGATATTCATTTTTCTTGCTGTAGTTAACAGCATAGGCCATGTTTTTAATAAATTGTTTGTCATTCATCCTGGATATATACAATTGCACTTGGCCCTTTTAGCTTTAGTTTTCTACTCTTTTTGACTCTTTTTAACTCTTCTGAAAGAGAAGGCTTTCTTCAAGGTAGGGTAAAGTTCTCTTCCTAGCATCTAAATTTTTTAGTTGGTCAATCTCAATATTATGGTCTACAAGGAATTCAACAATCATTTTCTTCCGAATATTATAGCATCTTCACAACACTTCATTTGATATCTTTATGGTAATTGAATTCCAATCAAAAGCTTATCATCATATTGAAGAAGTTAATGATAGGAAGATTATCCGTTTTCTAGTCGTTGACAGCTAAATGACATGAATATTACTTATTTGTTGTTGTTGTTGATAGTTGACTCAGTCTCTTTGATGAGTTTCAGCTTTTGATGCAAAGGGAATGACTATATATACATATGAGATTACTCTTTTCTAAAAAAACAATTCAAAATTTATTCCTATAATTACATTAAGATAATTTACATTGAGGAAACTTTTGTTTTCTTCCTTCTCTCTTTGTTTTTTTTTTTGGAATCCTACCTACATGAGCATCAGTCCACAACCCTTCTTTACATGAATGGACTAATCTATGACAACCTTCTTTTCATCTGTGATACTTGATTTTTTTTACCTTTACTGTATTTACTGTTAGTCAGATTTTTCTTTTTGCCCTTAGATTCTTGATAAGGTTATAGTCTTAACATTTCTTTCTATCTATTGCATTTATTCAATGTTTTGTTCTTTAGAAAGTAGATGATTCTAATAAATTTTGCCATGTCATAAATTTCATTTGGACAAAATTAGTTCTTTGATAATCATCCATGCTATTGTAGTACAATATATCATCTATATGAGTTAGCTAATCTAGAAATTTAAGAGTAGAGCTTTGATTTTTACCTTGTTGTAGGCCGTAGTGTTGGCAAATGCCTACAAAAACTTTCATCTCTTTAGTGAACATGGAAATCTTATTGGATGTCTTTACTTTTTAGCATGATGTGCTTAACATATTCCATTAGTTCTATAATGTGTCAACATTATTTTGCTTGTTTCCAAATTTATCATTGGTGGTCAATTCTTTGCTTGCAAGGGTATGGTGCAAATCTTCAAGTTGATTAAACGGAACTGATTTTGAAGGCATGATGCTAAACATCCAAAATGCTTTATAGCATCTAACATGACTTCGAACTTGCAGATTTTAGAAGCTAGTGAGAGAAAGGTTGGAAAGGTGCAGTTCAAGCCAATCAGAAATGGGCATACAGTTTCTGAGGCAAAGGTTTTGAATCGGCTGGTTTCCACTAAAGTTGTGAAGAGGAAGAAGCAGAACGATAGGGAATCAGATTCTGATGAAACAGCCACAAGACAAGATGATAGGTACTCTCCTCAACTCTCATTCCAAATGGGGAGAGAAAACTCATCTTCTGACACAAAAGGCTTTCATGAGAGCAATGATTCACAATAGCTACGGTGCAGCCCTCCGTCACTTCCTTTTCCTATTGCAAAATCTAAATAGTAGTAAGAAATGGAGTAAACTTGAAACTGCAGAAAACAATTAGTTGGCGAGACGGTGCAGCACTGTGTCCAATTCTTCCAAAATATTTGGTGTCTGCTCGCCCTATCGTTGGACTGTAAATCATGGAGGTCTTTATGGCCTGAAATGCATCTGGAAGCGCAGATGACCATCATTAATGATAGCAACTCAGGGTGGAAGAACTACTTTGACTGATCAGTATCTCAACTGCTCTCTCTTCTCCCTCGACCTCATCTCTTTTTTGTATAAATTGCACTTCAGTTGTCATTTTTTTACTTTCCATGAACACAGTAATGTATACGGTTAATTAATTTTTCTATTTCTACAGGTTTGCTTCTCTGAGGGAAGGTTTTGTGTATTTTGGCTTATGCCGTAGGGGTTTCTGCCTTTATTTATTCAACCATGCAGTGTTTTTTTTAACACAAAATTTTACATTAAAACTTTACATATTTGCCATATATAGTCATATTGATTTTTGCATAGTGAATCTTATGGCAAGTTTCATGTTGCTTATTTGGCTTTTTTACTTATTATCAAACATTTGTATAATATTGATTTCAGGTGAGGTTGAAGAGCTCATGCAAGTATCATCAGGCGAGGTATATCTGGATTGCATTATAATGATTTAGCATAATTCAATATTATTTGTTATAAATGAGATATAATTTTGATCTTACAAACATGTACCAACTATAAGTGTGTAGTCATCTCGGTCAATGTTAGCTGAAGTGGCAGGTCATGCCCATCAATGCATTTGGGAATTTAGGATTCTAGTGTTAATTAGTATAAATAGCTTTACATTAGGATGGAAATCATGATTAACCCATTGTGTTATTGGATTAGTGAGTAATTAAGATAATAAATAGGGGGAACCACCAGTATACCGACTAAAAGTTGTAGTCAATTGATCAATGCTAACTAAAAATGCTGGTCAAGCCCATTAATGCCCTTGGGGAGGAATATAATGTTGATCAGTATAATTAAACTAATTTAAATTAGGATAATATTATGATTGGCATATCATAATGCTAGATTAATAATTAATTAGGATAATTTTTAATGATAGCGTCCTATCGCACAAGTATAGAAAGGGGTCCCACCATCACACCATACAATTAGGGCTCAGCTCGTGTTCGGCTCATTTATACTTCGAGCTCAAAAAGTCCGTTCGTGTTTGACACGTTTACTTAGCAAGTTGAACACGAGCCGTTTGCGAAAAAAGAGTCATTGACAACCCTAATCACGTAGTCATATGATGTTAAGAATTTGGACAAGATTTTAAACATCATTTGAATCTAATTTAATAATTTTTATTCTATTTTCTTCATTAATACTTTTAATTAATTATAAATCTTTGTAGCTTTGTAGTCAATTAATTTTTTTTAAAAAAATACTACTCATCAAAGAAATATATATATAATTGATTAGTAGTATTTCGAGCCAAAACGAGCCGAACACAAACGAACAAGTATTTGTTCGTGTTGTTCGTATTCGGCTCGTCAACTTAGCGAACAAGTTAAACATGAGCTTCTTAACGAGCCGAACAGGAGCTGTTCGCGAACAACGAACCGTTTTGACAAACCTACATACAATCAATGCACATGGTAAAGGAATTCTATGTTGTTGAGGCACTTCTAAGGCTATTTACATGAAATATGATAGATTTGCATATTCTAACTTTTAGTTCATGGTTTGCGAGTAATAGTGCCTTTGAAAAGTGAGTGGGATGAGGAAGAGGGTTGGATGTTGCAATATGATGGTATGTTAAGAGTCACAAAAAGATTTCATATCTGCCTACTTTAGTTGGAAGAATAAAGTGATACAAGTGCTAGTAGACAATGATCTAGATAAGTTAAAATAATAGCTCATCAACATTTAAACTTTGATGTTAATGAGTATAATGTTCATCTTGTTTGTCTCTGGCCAAATAAGTAGTAGATTTATGGCTACATATATAATTAACGATGAGTCATATGAAGCTGTATTAACATTGAGTGGGATGCAATATTAATTTAAATAGTTCCTTAGACCATTAAATAAAGAATATAGAGAGTTTTTTTACTTATGATTTATATGTTGGTATGACATTACAAACCAAGTCTATTTTATAATTACAAAGGCTGATCGATCTATTTGTAATAATGTTGAATATAGAACATTACTTCAAGTAAATCTAATTTATCAATTAGATGTGTTCATTATGATGATGCAACATAGATTTGTGAATATTGGTCCTTACATGTTGTAGGAAGTAAGCATTTAGGGGGCATGACATAATCTTGATTTTGTCTGCAATTTCACTTCTGGACAACAAACATGCGTAATATTTTCTCTCTAACCATACTATAAACAACTTAATAATATAACATAAATCCATGCATCAAAATTCACGCTCCTCTCCTGCAAAGGAGCACATGCAGGCCTTGCGCCATGGAAAGTATGGCCATCATCCTATACTTAACAGGAGGGTGATGAGGAGCGAGTCTGAACTGAAAGAACCTGCACAGTAACGCCGCCGTCATCTTCATCTGCAGATAAGCGGAGTCCTTCCCCAAGCACATTCTGGGACCAGCCTGAAATGCAGTGAACTTGAACGGAGAGACGTTGTTTTGGACGGAAATATTGTCGTTATTTAGCCATCTTTCGGGGCGAAACTCTGATGCGTCGATGCCCCAAATGTATTCCATTCTTCCCATTGAATAGGGGACGTATGTCACCATTTCCCCGGCTCTCACCTTCGTTCCGTCTGGCAGAACATCATCCTTCAATATGCCTTTTGGGTCCTGTGAGGGAAACTAACTTCTTAAAAAGTTGCGGTAAGAATTATAAATATATATATATATTTTTTTTTCCAAAGAACTAGAGAATAGCTTTGTTACAGCCACCACAGTTTAACATGTCAGCTCGAAAAAAAACAAATTCACACAACAAAAATGTTTAGAAATCACTAGGAAAACACTTTCTCTACCAGAACTATGATGATGATATGAAATGCAAATTAGGCAAAAAACTGTCCTAAACAGACCCTAAGTTCCAAATCCAATAATTTATCTATGATTTAAGGTCATTTTATGTATATTTTTCTTTTAGGAGACTTGCATTAATATCATAATTCTTGTCTGTATGTGCGTATGTGTGTATGATGGTTGTTTTGTTGTGATTTCTAATTGAGGGTCGTAAAACTATACGAGTAAAAGGGAATTTACATTAGTATCATAGTTCTTATAAATACGTGCCATTTACATGCATACAATACAATTCTTATATATTTACATATTTTCTACGTAAATTTTTATATTTATATACATCAAAATTATTACTAAATAAAAAATTTTGTAATAATAAATCTATATATGGAAAAATGTACTTAAATAAAAAAAATTTGTGTATTAGATATGTAAATTCATATGAATTTTATACTAACTATGAATGAAGAATGTATTAACTCTTGTTTTTTTTTAGTTTGTGCTAACTACTTAAATATTTTAATATCTAACACTTAAATATTAATTTTTACTTGAATAACACCCTAGTTCTTAAAAAATAGACTTTTTGGGGCATTCACATACATACCACACAAATCCTATGCATTTACATATCTAACACCTAAACTTCAATCATTATTACATTTACAGCCCCCTAATCCTTCATATCACACCAAAAGCACCCCCATTTTAACATTAAAAAAATCGAAATGCACCTTTTCATGCATAGCTATGGTGGTTTGTATGTAAAACTTGAATTTCAGGTGTTAGATATGTAAATACATAGGAATTGATTGGTATATATGTAAATCTTCCCTTTTTTTTTTCTGGAGCCCAACCTGAGGAACAGGAGGATATAGCCTCAGCGTCTCTGTAATGCATGCATGCAGATATTGCAGCCTTCCTACTGAATCATAATCCAAAAGCCTTGAGAAATGTGATAATCTGTTTCTGAATGAATCCTCATTTTCCAAATCACATAAATCCAAATTTATATTCTCTTCTCCAGCTCTCATCTCCTCAAACTCTTTCATCTCTGTATACAGTTTTTCTGCCACCTGAGGTTGTCTGACTAACATGTATATAAACCATGAGAGGGTTGCAGCAGTGGTGTCTCTCCCTGCAATCACAAAGTTTATCACCACATCTCTCAGACTTTTTTCCGTGCCGAAATCGCTCTCATTGTCATTGTCGGCGCCGGAGAGCTCGATGAACCTTGATAGTATGTCATGCTGTACCTGTTGCTTGGATTTGCAGGTATGTTTCAGGTAAAATGACATTAATATGACTAATGTTCTATATGAGTATGAATTAGATTTGCCTATGCATGTATAATAAGATATGAACTTAATACAATGATAGAAATACTCATATACATATTATGTTTCGACATATCTACCACTAAAGTTTTTATATTTCCATGCATAACCCTCGAATCTTTACATTTACATGAGTACAATCCAATTCCTATGTATTTACATATCTAAGACCTAAACATTGATTCTTTATATTTATACCACTCGAATCATTCATATCAAATCAGTAACACCAGCATTTTAGTTTTTAAAGAGTGAAACACACCTTTGCATGCATAGGTAAAGCATTATTTATGTAAAATTTGATTTTTAGAAGTTAGATATATATAATTACATAGGAATTGAGTGATATGCATTTATGTAAATCTTGCAAGAAAAAGAAATAGCTTTTATATAGAAACCAGTTTTGAATCACCAAACTAAACTTCATATATCATAAATGACAGAGCTTATCAGATTAAAAAACAACTTTTTAGAAGGCTGTGGTTAAAGAAATACATACTTTTTATAAATTTAGACAGTAGATTTCTTATAACCATGACATCTTAGTTGATCGAGTTCAAATTAAAAACAGCTTTCCACAACTAAAATTTTCAAAAAAACAGTTAGAAAGTACTTTCACAAATAGAACCATCGTAACGGTCTAGAACGAAACGTAAAAGAAAACGAACAAAAAACTATCCCAAACAGAATCCTAAACAAATTAGTAAAAGTTACCTTATTGTCATGAAGCCCTTTTTCTTTAGCCCTTAAGATCTCAGCTTTCCTTGTACGTATAACATTAGAGGTGAAGTCATCAACAATTTTAATATTTTGCTTGAGGGCAGCCTCTGATCCCACACACAGAAACCTCTTCAACCTCCACAAGGGATCGATGAATCGAAGCGTGACGGTCTCGTTTGCGGTGTCAAAAGCTCGAGCAAAGCTGTTATCTGGGAGTTGAGGAGACAGTGTCCCTATCTCCACTCCAAAACCAAGCTTGCATATGGAGTCCATTGTCATCCTCATGAACAAGTCCTGAATTTGGAGCATATTGATCAGACAACAGTAGCAAGGTTTAACACTAAGTTTATGTTATATATTTTTATATGCATTTCAAAATCGGGTTATCGGGTCGGTTTGGGTCTGATTAGAAATTGATCTGACTTAAAACTGTTTAACTCGAATCCAACCCTAAAGAATATTAAATGGATTGGAAAGCCTGACCCGAACTTATACGTCCCCAACCAAACTCATGAACTGAACCCGTCCTACATGACCCGTTTAATATATGCATGAAGGTTATTTTGGGTCAGATTCATGTTAATGTCAAGTCAGTTTTGAGTCATATTTGGGTTGGAGAGGCCGGTTTCGAGTTAGTTTTGAGTTGGTGGGTCAATTTCGGGTTGAAAATATCAACATGAATCCGTCACAAAGAAAGTAAATTCATCGGGATTTAAGGCCGAATCCGTCCCGAAAATTTATTGGGTAAACTCAAACTCAATTTTATGCATATATATATATATATGCTTTTGTTTTAGCCAAACAGATATATATATATATATATATATATATATATATTCTTGTGTGTAAGTGCTGAGTACATAAATTAATATTATATCCAACATTTGATATTTTTTAGGGGCGTCCACATGCATGCCACACAATTCACATGTATTTGCATATCTAACAACAAGCATTCATATTTAGATGCATATCATACAAACCTTTAACATCACATAAAAAATATCACTATCAATAACTTTGTAAAAGTAAAATACATTTTTTCACACAAAGGTTTTGTGGCTCTAAAGTTATATAAATGAAATATCAATTTTTTAGTGTTAGGTATAGGAGTAGAACCATGTTATGTCCGATAGTCAATTGCCCCCTCTTCCCCCCAAATATATATTTTTTTCCCATTACTTTATATGTCACATATGTAAATATATCAGATTTGATCAGTGTTATGTAGATAAATCTTCGACTGTTTGTGCATTATCTGAAGAAAATATTACGTGCAGCGACCACACGTCCAAACGACAGTCCGGTTGAGCCACCGTGCAATCCACAATGATGTGGCAGCCCGTCCGAACCGAAGTCTGGATGTGTGGTCAGCCGGACGTAATATTTTTCCCGTTACCTGGATATCGACAGCTTGATGATGATCTGTGGAAGAGGCTTGGCATAATATGTTAGAGAGCTTCAAAGCATACTCCCTAAACACAACGGTGCTGAGTTCCCTCAAGTTCTTCGAAGCGAACTCAAAGCTGGCAGTCTTCCTCTGCTTCCTCCACAGCTCTCCATCCGCGTTAAATATCCCATCTCCCAGCAATACCTCCATATATGATCTAAAAATCTCTCCCTGCATCATTTAAACCACACACATATAAACATACATAAATACATCAATGTATATTACATAGAGAGAGAGAGAGAGAGAGAGAGAGAGAGAGAGAGATTGAGGCTCCATTCTGGACATCTTATCCACAGCAGTGACGTTTTGAAAGTGTCGTCTCACTGTTTGAAAATTGTGTTTGAGCAGCTTATCCGAAAACCCAGTTGGTTTTTTACACTAATAGCGGAACGCGGGTCGAACCTCGCTGTCCGCTTATCCGGATAAGCACAAGCTGCCACAAACGGACCATAAATAAGTCTTTATCCCGCTAAGTGAGGTCGACTACATGAACATTTTTCTCCATTGTGCCTTATTAAGTGTCATATTTTCATTTAATTCAAATAAATTAAGATCTTAGATCTATCTTTACTTTTACTAACATAGGTCGAATCTAAAACATCTGCTCTTCTAAATCAGATAATTAGATGGTCAACACTTAACATAACAAAATCATCTACTCTAATCTTGTTGCCACAGGAGCTACACCAACTCTTACACGGATAAATTCATTTCTCATTTTTGTCTCAAAGTTGTAAAGCCGCTCATCCACCTAAACATTCTCGTCTCAGCAACACTTAACTTAGTTTTACGCTAAACATAATCTAATCTTTTGTTACCTTGGGGTAGTTGCTGAAGTTGGTCTTCAGAATATGCTCCACATTTGCAGGGTCTGCAGTATAAGTGTAGGAAGTGAAAGGCATGGGAACAGTAACAGTCCTCCATTCAGACAAGTAACCTGCAAGCCAATCATGCATGCGTTCATAGTTGTTAAGCTGTTCGATGGCGGCGCCGACGAGCGGCCATGTCTTCGGACCCCGGCGGGTTTCTGTGCACCCATCTATGTAGGAGGATCCAACTGATGAGGAAGACGACGGTGAAAGCAATGAGTTGGTTGTATGGCAGAAGTGAGGAGCTTGAGGAAGAAGAAGACATTAATGGCTGCAGAATTGATTGATGTTGCTGTGGCTGTGGTTCTTCATATATTTGTTGTGAGGGAGGATGGGAGTTAAGGAAACGGAAGAAAGTGAAATAAAACCATCTTTTTGTGATGTTTATGATGTGGTTGGACATAAGGAGGGTAAAATTAAGTGTCTTACCTAACTTTAAAGAATTGAGAAGTAAGAGACTAATTTGTCAAAATAGTCCCTGATTATTTATATAAAACCATTTTAGTCCTAGAGTTTATAAGATTGTTAGAAAAATTCTCAGATTCTTTAAATTGAGGTAGAAATAGATCTGATTGAGAACTATTATAACTCAATTTTAATATAGTTGGGGATTATTTTGTTATTTTTATAAAATTTGGGATTAAAATGATTTCATAGTGAAGGACTATTTTGGCGGTTTAATCGGAAACCAAATTATTTTAGGAAAATTTATATTTTGAAAAAATTAAATGGTATTTAAATACATACCACCCAATCCTTATGCATTTATAGGGCTCTCGAAAAGGCTCATTGTTCGCTAACAGCTCGTTAAGAAGTTCGTGTTCGGTTTGTTCGCTAAGTTAATGAGTCGAACACGAATAACACGAACAAATACTTGTTCGTTCGTGTTCGGCGCTCATTTTGGCTCGATCATTTTGGCTCGAAATACTATTAATCAATTATATATATATATCTTTGATGAGTAGTATTTTTAAAAAAATTAATTGACTACAAGATTACAAAGATTTGTAATCAATTAAAATTATTGATGGAAAAAATAGAATAAAATTTATTAAATTAGATTCAAATGATGTTTTAAATCTTGCCCCAATCCTCAACATCTTATGGTTATGTGATTGGGGTTGTCAAAATGACTCTTTGTTCGTGAACGGCTCGTGTTCGGCTCGCTAAGCAAACGAGTCGAACACGAACACACTTTTTGAGTTTGAAATATAAACAACTTTACACCCCTATACATTTACATATGTAATTTTTTTTACATTTATACCAACTAAATCTTGCATATCACATCAAAAATATCAATTACTTAACTTTAACTAACTTCAAAAATGTGAAATGCGCTGTTACAGTGTTGGGATTAGATATGTAAATACATAAGAATTGAGTGCTATGAATGTAAATATTTCGATATTTAATTTATGGACTGGAAACCACAACGTCTTCTGAGGTGGAAAGATTTTGATGTGACCCTACTCATTTAATAAAATACTAATAATTACATATTTACCCTTTCTTGATTTAAAATTTGGCTCACTTGTGGCTAAGCAAATGTGAAACTTCACTCCTTATCTATTGACATACTTCCATATTTTTTACATTTATGTCTACTTATTTTTTTCAATTATAAATTTAATATTTTTATTTTACTAATTATTTCTTATTTCTCCATAAATATTAATTATAAATTATTTCTTTATTTATTTATTTAAATATGCTCATAATGAAATCCCTATAGAATTCAAATACGTAACATCATTCACAAATATCTCATCATTTATCCAAAACCTCGAAGACTTACAACTAACAAACAGATGTCGGACCAATTGATCTGAGCACACGTTCTAACAAACTGATGTGAGTACAGGGCGCATAAAACTTCGGTGCTTTAATTTGAACTAGCATTTCCTTAGGAATAAGGAATCCAACAAACAAACAAGGGCACATTGTGTCATGTTCGATCCATCACATCAATCATAATGTGTCACAATCTAGTGAAAATTCCAAGTCTTCTTGCTTTCTTTAACCATCTTTTTCCTTGCTTGGGTTTTTTTTTGGTATATTCGGCGCTAAATATCTTTACGTGTCATTTACATATAGCTCCTAATTCTTCTACTATTTACATATCTACCAACCCATTTTTCGTGTTTACGCATTATACCGCTCAACTCATCACCCACAGTTCACAAATCAAATCCACCTTTTCATACATAGATAAAATGGTAGGTACATAAATGTCAAACTTCTGGGGTCAGATATGTAAATACATGAGAATTCCGTGTTAGGTATGTAAATTTCTCAAAAATCCAATATTTAACATCTTGAAGGTACATTATGCATGAATCAATGGCTGGAATGAAAAGCCAAGCAACGGAGCTTCATGATGAAAGGGAAATTGAATTAGATTGGAGAGGGAAATTTACATGCATATCATTCAATTCTTATGCATTTACATATCTAACACCTGAAGCTTGATATTTACATTTATAACCCTATGGGATTGAAAAACTGTATGAAAAGGTGCATTTAACTCTTAAAAAGTGGCAATTACAAACATAGCACCCTAAAGATTGCTAAAACTCCGGCCCATGTTTCATACAAAGATTACAAATTATCGCTCAAATATCAAAATTTATGATAAAACCCCGGCCCATGCTTCTTATTTTTATTAAATTCTCAATGATTTGATCGTGACATGTGTAAATGCATCGGTCCGATAGTTCAAAAAAACCTAACAATGTTTCTGTAAGTGCTATGTGTGCAATTATCCCTAACCAAAACTTATTCTGCTCAAAGGAATGCTGTAGAAATCAGCCAAATACTCCAAAGCCTCGCGGTTTGAATTACAGACCTTCCACAAAGATCCAATCTCTCCATCCGAAACTGCGCCCCATTTTTCGCAATCATGGAGGAATTCCAGCAGCTTTGCATAGAAGGAATCATAATTCATGAGAAGGAATGGGACTGGAAGCTCTGAGCCAATCCTATCCAATTGTATCAAGGCCAGAATCTCAAACACCTCATCTAATGTCCCGACGCAGCCGGGAAAGGCAATCACTGCCGTCATGTCCGACGGCTCCTTCCTCACCGCAGCATCCACCAAACCATGCTTACGTGCTGAGAAAAACCTGTTCCGAAGCAGGCATCAGTCTGAAGGCTGTTTACATGCCACTCAATTCCTATATATTTACTTGTTTAACGGCTAAACTTTACTTTTTTTACATTTATATCACACAAATCTTTCATAGTACATCAAAAAATGCAAAAAATAGAAGTTTAGGCGTTAGATATGTAAATACATAGGAATTAAGGCTTTGAAGTTTGTGAGATTACCTGCAGGTAAGGTAATTTTCAGGAGAGAGGTAGGGATGGAGGTTCGAGCTGGACCATTCGCCGGACTCCTTGGCTATCTTGAATCCGCCGACTGGCTTCTTTGCTTCCAAAGCACCTTTAATGGCGGCATCCATGAGGCCAGGTCCAGCTCCTGTCCATGTGGTGCATTCCAGTAGTCTGGCTATCTAAGCATGATGCATGAGCCATTGAGCTATATTAACTCACCTCAAATGGCAGGTAAAAGCATAACAGGAGGTTTTGTTTTTAGGGAGATTTATATGCATACCACTCGATTACTATGCATTTACACATCTAACTCCTAAACTTCAATGTTTAGGTGGTATATGTCACTTTTCCTACGCATGAAAATGTGCAAATCACTTTTGTTTTTAGGAAGATTTGGGTGGTATAAATGTAAGAATTAAAATTTAGGTGTTAGATAAAGTAAATACATAGGAGTTGGATGGTATGTATGTAAATGTTTGTTGACGTCATTTTTCGTCAACCCTCTTTCCTTTGACTAAAGCTTAATTAGACTTCACTTCAGCTCAAGCTTGACTAAACCCTGAGATTATTGTTTTCTCTCCCAAAGTTATTGTAAGGCTCAAAACCTCATTTTAAAAGTTGCATGAGGCTTGTTATCACTAATAAAGACCATTCAAACTAATTTGATGATCACGTGAAATAATATTATGTAGAGTTGTGCCTATATATGCATGAAAATAGTGTTATGTAAAAATTTTTCAACGAGTCGTTATTTTTTAAAATGAACGTTACCATTATGTTCATATCATCAAAATCTTTTAAATAAGTCTTTTTGTGCTCAATTCCGACTCCGTTTAGGCATGTTTTGAGCAGACGATAATTAAAAGAGAGAAAACAATAATTACGATAATAAAACGGTAATTTGCTCAAAATTCAAAACGACTTTAAATTAACTCCAATCTTCAATAAAAGTTGTTCTAAACTTACAAAATACATCATTTGGACCAATAAAATTAACTAAAAATTTTTTATCAAAATTGACAATTTTCTCTCCTAAAGTGGGACCCACTTTAACCAATCATCTCTCTTTTCGAGCTTGAATTGGCCAAAACCCATTAGATCATTAAATTTCTTGAATTTCTCACTATCAATTGGACTAAAGTTATTTTTTGGTAAAAGTCAACTTTCCAACGAACTTTGAACTTCTCGCCACAATAGCAAGAAAACCCATAATTCTCCTAAATTTTCTTTTTGTTGTGGCGTGAGCTAGAAAGGAATGCTGTGTGGGGGTTTTTCAGCCAAAGAAAATGGGGAGAAGGTGAAGATGATGGAGGAGTGGGTGGGTTGGTTATATGAAAGAGGGAGTGGCTAAGATTAAGAAGGAAGTTTAAAATTCAAAATGAAAGGCTATGATTCAACCAGTTTAGAGGGATTTCTGTTGTTGTAGATTAATCCAATAGAATGTGAGCACTTGGATTAATGTGGTGGCCAAAACAATTAATTTTTCTGTAAAATCGGAAAGGATGATCAGAAAAATTCAAATTTACATATCGTTTTTAAGAGGATGAAATAAAGATTCTAACGGCCCAAACCATTTCAAAAAAAGATTTGTACAGTCAAAGTTATGGTCATTTCAAGTTCAAAGATAGTTGAAAATGTGATTATGACCAAAAAAATTGACTTTGGTCCAATTGATAGAGAAAGATTCAAAGAATTTAATGGTCCAATGGGTTTTGGCCATATCAAGCTCGATAAAGAAAAAGGTCTGGTCAAAGTGGGCCCCATCCTATGAGAGAAAATCAATTTTGACAAAAAAAATTTATTGGTCCAAATGATGTATTTTTAAGCTTAGAACAACTTTGGTTGAAGATTAGAGTTGATTTGAAATCATTTTGAAAGAATTTTGATCAAATTATTGTTTTATTATCGTAGTTATCATTTTCTCTCTCATAATTATCATTTTCTCAAATGTGTCAAAACAAGCTCGGAATTGAGCACAAAAGGAGTGATTTAAAAGATTTTGATTATATAGACACAGTGGTGAATTCCGTTTTAAAAAATACTAATTAAATGAAAATTTTTTTATTTAAGACCTTTTCCATGTATATAGACCTTAAGTGCATAGTTTTACGTAAAAAATATTTCATGTGATCATTAAATTGGGCTGCATGGTCATTATTAGTGATAATAAACCTCATGCAACTTTTAAAATGAGATTTTGAGCCTTACAAAAACCTCGAGAGAGAAAACAATAATCTCAAGCTCTAGTCAAGATTGAGCTCAAATGAAATCTAATCAAGCTTCAGTCAAGGGAAATAAGGCTGACTGAAAAAGAGATCAACGAATAGATTCCCAATATGTGTGGCGGACGATTCGAAGTACGACACACATATTGACATTAACCAATGAAAGTCAATTAATTTCAGAAATAAGAAGATTGTTGATCAACATCAAAGTTTTTTATTTCAAAGGGTAATCTGAAAATTAAAATTCTGATTTGAATTTGAATGATTTTGAAATTCTTCCCAATTAAGGATTCTTGAGAAAGTTGGTTTAAAAGTTTCAATTTTAAAGGGGTTTCATTTGGGATTTAATTTTTTTTAATCTCAAAGTTGATTCAAAACTCTTTTGCTTTTTTTAAAAGTTTAAAATATTAGTTGATTTAATTTTTGAAAAACTCATCAAATGTTTGAACACTTTGGAATGAAAAGTACAATGACTAATATTCAACCTAAGAGATGAACAAGATGATTAGATCATAATAGAATACACTCTGAATGTATATCTAATTTGAGAGCTAATCGGAGGGGAAAACTCAATATATGAATGCCTTTGAAATGAAAACATAAGAACTCACATTTAAACGAAAAGGGTAAACATGATTATTAGATCAGAATAGAAAATACACTAGATTTACATCTAATTTGAGAGCTAAACAAAGATGATTAGATCGAGATAGAATACTTATAAGATCTTATTTCTACCCGAGAGTTAATCAAAGATAAATTCAACTTGAATACACTAGATTGAAATACGCATGATTGATATTCAACCTAAGAGGTAAACAAGACAAATAGATCAGAGTAAATATCTGTGGATTCATATTACACCTGTAACTAATCAAAACTTGGAGATTATCCAGGTTTGAGGGTCTCCAATGGGTCTCCTGTGGATTTCAATGACTAATATTAGTAAGAGTTTTGTTTAACAATAGGTTTACTTAGCTAAAGAATTAACCACTGAACCGTACATGGTTACACAAGATCAATTCGTCGTGAAGGAGGGAACACAATTTATCCTTTCAGTGAGTTTCAAAGGCTTAATCAAGAAAAGTTACCTAAGAGGAAGGTTATATGATTTGATTTTCATTAGCCAATGCATTGTTTTGCTGAATCCGGTATTTCAAAATAGCAATGAGCCCGAGAAACTTAGGATGGTGCCACAAAAGGTCTGCCCCACCACTGAGAGAGAGCACAATGTCTAGAATGTCGTTTAGTCCACACTAAACATAGGCAAAACATTCAAGCTATTAAAAAGTATGATTGTAGCTTACAGTAGAGCTTGAATGTTACACTTAAGTTACTAATCAAATGTTAGTTTTTTTTTATTATTATTGCGGTCAGTTTGCTCAACAAATTAACGAACCAAAGAGAGGAAAATATATAAATGATTGTCATTGAATTGTACTAATCAAGAATCTGTTAGGAAACATTCCCTTCATTAGATTTACTAAGCTAAAACATTAATCTACATAACAAACGTGATTGATCCAAGATAAATGAATCTGATTACATCGTGATGATTCCACAAGATTTACTCCAACACTGATGGATCGAAAAGGCTAAACCTGTGGGAAGTTGTTTAAGAACGCACTAGGCTTAACCCCATAATCCAAGGCATTCAATGACCAATGCTAGCAAGTCTCTGACTTACAGAGCCAAAGCATAAAGCAATCGGCATTTCACCAGACTAAGACATACGAACCTGGAAAAGGAAGGAGATTCAAAAGGTTTTATTTAGACAAACACATTCGAAAAGGCGCCCGAGTCTAATTCTAGATTTACGAGTCTAAAGTGTTGAGTTTCTTGAATCCGGTAATTCAACGTAAACAGTAAATATTGTCGACCATAATAAGTGTAATCCACACTAGACTTGATACGGAGTTTCAATCTCTTTGCTACCAATAACTGAGACTAGAGTAACTGGTTTGGTGCTACATTATAATTACTCAATTGAGCCGAGAGTTGTTATCGAGGCCGAGGGCATTGATAAAGCTGACAGAACTTGAAAAAGTAAAAATGAATTTCCAGTGAATTATGTTGAGAAATGAATCTGTTAGGGACCATAATTCTCACTCAAAATTACTAACTCAAAGAACCAACCTGCATATTAGTGTTTCACTGAATCAATGTCAGTCGGCACGACCACATCGTGATGGTGCCCAACGGGATTCCTCCAACACCGATGGGTCAAAAAAGGAGAGCATATAGTTTTTGATGAGTCAAACTAGTAAAGGATTAAATGGATATTCTTTACTAAGAATTATGAACTCAAGGGATTGATTCACATCATCAGCGTTTCACTGCATCGCAATCAACCAAACCCGATCAATCATGACGGTTCCACAAAGGGTTTACTCCACCGACTGATCTTGAAAAAAGGAAACTTGTTGAGATATATTGGCTCAAAGGATTGACTTTCAAATTAATATTGGCTGACTCAAAGCCAATCAAACCCAAAACACATCGTGATTGTTCCACAAAGGGTTTCCTCCAACACCGACTGATCCTGGAAAAAGGAAACTTGTTGAGATATATTGACTCAAATGATTGACTTCAAAATTAATCTTGAATAACTCAAAGCCAATCAAAGCCAGATCACATCGTGATGGTTCCACAAACGGTTTCCTGCAACACCGATAGATCCAAAGCTCAAAATGACCCGTGGAAAAGTCTGAACATCAAACCAACCTTAATAACAAGAAGTATTCAAAAAACTTGATCAAATTTAGACTAGCAAACTTAGGGACTCATATCTAGCTAAAGAGGTGCACAGGGTGATTAGTCCAAGATGGAAGACCATAGATACATATCCAGAGTCTGAGAACTAATCAAAAGATATTCATTAAACTTGAATTCATTATGATGAAAAGCGCATGACTGACATTCACACTAAGAGGTAAACAAGATGAATAGATTGA